CCACCACTCAGACAGTGCAGTCATGTTGTCTTGCCGTGATAACGCGTAGCAAATATACTTGGCCCGTCGCGCTAGGGTTTCCAGGTTTGCCCTCCCCGAAGACTCAAGGGTCGCGCGTTGCGAAGATTTCCACGCGATGGATGTTGCGATGTTTCGGCGGCGGGCTGCGTCGGCGAAGCAGATGCGCCGGGATCATCACACGTGTTGGGCGCGCGCACCCCCCCTGGACTTGGGGCGCCCGTGGGCGCGCCTGCCCCGGGCGGGATGTCAGCGCCGCGCTGCTTAGAGGGCGCGGCATCTGACCTCGGCAGAAGTAGCGCGGTCGGCTCAGCAGATGACGAGACCGCGGCCGACGACCCGGCATATGCCTCAGCCGGCGGTCCACCCTGCAACTGCGCCCGCGCGGCGCCGACCAGCTTAACTGTCCTTTTCTTTCCTCCAAGCCGGAAAGACTCCGCATGGAGGCCTTCCGGCTTAGGCCGTGGCCCTTTCCGACTGGTAATGGGCGGGGTGATCCGCCAGTGCCCCGGCTCTGTTCTTCTTTGGATTCGCGCTGTGGAAGCGGGTCCTCGGTCGCCTCCAGCCCCCATTGCCGCGGGGTCAAGAGTGGCGCCAGCTCTTGACTTGCCCCTGCCCGCGGCCGAGCTCGACCCTCCTGGGCGCGCAGCAGGCAGGCGGCCCCGGCGCCGAGTCGCCGCGGAAAGCCGGGCCAGCCCGCGACTCGGCGGACCTCTGCGGAACCGGCTGATGACGCAGAGGCGTCGAGTCGCCTCTGAAACGCGCAGCTTTCCCCCCACCACCGCCTCCGCGCTTAGCAGGGCCGTGCTTGCCCCCGCAATTGTCCGCGCCCTCGCCCCCGAAGTCGGGGGGTTCTTCTGGGCCCGCCTCGCGGTCTGGGCGCGACTTCATCTCGGGGGCAGCGTTCTCCCAGGCCTCCTGGGCGCGTCCGCCCGCGTCGTTGCCGGGCCTTCGCCCTGGGCGCGTCCGCCCGGCGGCTCAGCAGCTGACGCATATGCAAAGAGCCGCTCGCCCTGCCCCCCCTCTCCTCCCATCGCCTCGTCCGCCGCCCGGGCCAGCGCTGGAGGGGGCGGATGGGGCCTCGGCCCTAGAGCCCAGCTGATCTGACTCGTCGCATTCAGCTCGCGCCGGCGGGGAACACAGGGAGCACTGTCGCCGCCGTCGTCAACGGGATAATCCTCCGGCGTGCCGGCCGCGAGCCGGGCATGGGCGCGCGCGGCATTGCACCTGCGAGCCTCGATCAGATCTCGCCTGTGCCCGCTTTTCTTCGCTGCCCCTGTCGCGACATTCTGATGTTTTGATAGCGTGGCCCCTATTGTCGCGGATTGCACAATTCTTCAGAGACCACCAATGGCGAATCTGTGCCTCTGCGCAGCGCTGCTCGGAAAAATAGCCCGCGTCGGCGCCGTCGACCCTGGCGCGCGGGCCGCGGTCATCGCGAGGGAAAAGGGCGCGCCCCTTGCCAGGGGAGGAACGCCCCATTTCCCAGCCTGCGTCGCCAGAGCTCGCGCCGCACATGGGCTCGCAGCCTTTGCCCTTGGAAGGGGCAGCGCCGCGAGCGGCTGCGGCCGCGACCAGGGCCGCCCGCGCCCGGGCCATGTGCCAGCTTCACCCGGCACGCCTGCTGCGGCGCGGGCCGCTGAGCTGCGGTCGCGGCGACTGCATCGTTCGTCGCCCCTGCAGGGGCCGCCCGAGCCAACGGGGGCTTTTCCAGAATTACCCCACATTGCAAATGTGTTGGCGCGGGTCTGTCCTCACCCCGCAGCAGCCCGCCCTTCCTCCGCGAGTCCGAACGCCGTCGGGGCTAGGGGGGTGGAGTCTTATCTGCGCGTGTCCGAGCTGTTCCATTATTTCAGCGTCGGCGGCAGATGTTGGTCTCCGCGACGGACGCGCAGTCGCCGTCGTCGTCGTCGTCGTCGTCGTCGTCGTCGCCATGTGAATCTCCCCGCGCGCGTCCGCGCAAACGCGTGCCGATCCAATCCTCGATGGGGGCGCCGTAGATCTCCTCGATCCAGTCGCGCAGGTTCCCGGTGCATCGCTCCACCGACATGGCAGCGCTGGCGCAGTGGGCCATCAAAAAACAAGCAGAACTGGTTTAAGGGTAATGGGGGTGGTCGATATCAGGCAATCAACGCACACAATAATATCCGCTTCGGGTTGCTCTGAGCCACGAAGTGCGGATCCGCCCCCTCTCCCGCCCCCCTCGGAACATTGTGCTTGGAAGCGTTTGTCGCCGCCGCAGGTGCTGCGTGCCATCCTTGTTCCCATATTTGCCCATTGCGGATTGAGCCTGCGTCCCTTGCCCTTACCTCTTGTATGCCAACGATATTGGCCTCTACCTTCACCTCCTAGGAATAAATCTTCAAAGTCGTAGTCGGTCAATCGAGCCAGAAACGTGGCCACGCCTTTGCTGCGCAATCTGCGGGCACGTCTGCCACCTCTGCCGCGACCGTTATGCGGGAGAAAACACGACGTACAGCTCGCCTGAACCTCCTAACTGGTTTATTTGCTTATGCGTCGCCTCCACCTTCTTTTGGTGTGATGATACCCTACGCATAGGAATTACGCAGCTGCGTCATCGTCGGCGAGTAGGTCTGACCAGTCTCATTGTTCGGCACCGGTAGAGGAGAGACCGTGCTGGTATCCGTACCGGAATCGAAGATGTCGTCATCTGGTTGGCACGTTGATGTTTGAGCCAGACGCCAACTCGTTGCTGGTGGCGTCTTGGCCTAGGCGCGTCGTGGAGTCAGTGGGCTCTCCGTTATTCCGAATGCTGTTCGGCATGGCTGCCGGTGCGTCGCTTATTTCGGCGTGGTAAGGGCCAGCGCTGCGTCCGCTGAAGATGCTTCCGATGTTCCCTGGGCCCCTGGGGATGCTCAGCCAAGTGCCCATGGCTGCGCATTCGTTCTAGGAGTTGGCCGTACTGTTGTTGAGTACGGAGCATCTTGTGGCTCAGCAGCTGCAGTAGCTGTGCTGCTCGGGAGGTACCAACCCCCAAGGCACGAAATAATAGCAGGGTAGGGATCTGGAAGTTGGGTATGTTGAAGCCTGCTGAGTCTGCTTCCAGTCTGGCCATCTCGAATCGGGCCAGTACTGAGTCGATGCGCTCGCCTCTTTCGACTCTGAAGAAGACGACGAAGGCTGTCCCCGAGGTGAGCTGTCGCTCGTCCTCATTGTTTTCAAATTTGGTGCTTAGTAGGTACATGATGTATGTGACTTCATCGGTGCGTCTTCCCTGTAGTGTGACACCATAGTGTACTTCGCGAACAAAGAAGTCGCGGAAGGGTGTGTTGCCTGCGGGATCCCAGATGGGAGCCCGAATGCGTGTTTCTGCGACGGCGAGACATAGGCACACCCAGATAGTTCCAACGATCGCAACCTGAACGTAGCGCATGAACATGTTATAACAAATGATGTTAAGTTGCGTTTCATTGGACAGTGTCGCGTCCGTACGGTTGCGGCTGGGTGTCTGCTTGGACGTGGCCGTCACCTTGCGGACACGTATCGGTAATTGGGTCGCGCGTGGCGTGTGGCCACGCGGTGGGATGATGGAAGTGTTGGGTTTTCAGTTACTAGTTGGTCGGAGAGCATTGGGAGTAGTGGCTGGAAGCCGGCGTAGTCGGATACTCCACTGTGCCGTGGTAGATTGTCATGTGAACAACACTTGATGTAAAAGCCAGCCACATGAACATGTAGGCAGCTCCGTTACCAAGTGAAAAGTAAGGTTTTGAGGGCACAGGGCTTGACCAAGAGGTAATAAACTGAGAACCCTACGTACTCTTAGGATAGCGTCGGTGAACTATCGAGACATCCCACAACTCATCCCTTGATGGCAAGCGAAACAAGAAGCAGGAGAGAAAGCATGGGACCGGGAAGTGGATTATAGATGGACGTGGCTGTTGTCCGATACGATGATCCGCAGATAGAGGTGTACAGGGTCGAACACCTAGCAAATAGGACCGCGCGGTCCTGAGCCAAAACAGCGTCGGATATAGCGTCCGCTATACAGCCTTTCCTCAAACCTCGTTTAAGGTGAGGCGACCCAGCGTGGAGAAGATCAGGCTCCACATCGAGCCGCATCGCGGATGCATCGGCGATGAGACACGATGCTCCGATCCCAGTTGCTCGGGCCCCATCTGTGATGCCTGGGTGCTCCTCCTCCTCCTCCTCCTCCTCCTCCTCCTCCTCCTCCTCCTCCTCCTCCTCCTCCTCCTCCTGCGCGGGCCGACTGGGGGCCTCCGCGTCGGCGGGGTTCGGGAAGCCGCGGCCCAGCCTTGGGAGAGCCCTGGCCTGGAGAGATCCGCGTGGCAGGGCTCCAGAGAGACAGCCGGCTCTCGGGCCGCTCTCGAGCTCTGGGCGCAGCGGAGCCTCCTCGTGACCGAGGCTCGGGGCTGCCAGTAGAGAATGGAATCCCCGTCGCTCCTCACTCGGCGCTCCTTCAGATGGCAGCACGAGGACCGTACAATCGAACCCAAGGCAGAAGCAGCACCCCTTCAGAGCAGGAGATCCTCCGCCGGCCAACAAAAAACCGCGCAGAGTATGCGAGGGCAGCCTCCCCCAGGATGCACAAGAACGTCCAACGGGCACGAGAAACATGAGGGCAGCCTCCCCGAACCGACCTCGGTCTTATGCCTCGGCCTGGCTGTGGGGCTCGGCAACGGATGCAGAACCTTCCTTGGGGATACCACAAAGTACCAATACCGCTACTCCCCGGACCTCTCCGGGGGCGCGTTCTGACCGGCATCTCGAGGAGCATCCAGCGGTGGCGACGAGGGCCTCCCAGGAGGCCCCCCAAAAAGAGGAAGACAAGGGATGGCTAGTGGCATGGCCACCCTCTCCTCCTCTGACCTGTACCTCGGCCCGACTGCGGGGCTCGGCAGCGGCCGCAGAGCCTGGAGGAGGAGGAGGAGGAGGAGGAGGAGGAGAAGGAGGAGGAGGAGGAGGAGGAGGAGGAGGAGGAGGAGCTTGTTTCCCTTCGGCTCCTCGGCGCTCCGCAGCGCCCGCTCCTCGAGGTCCTCCTCCCGCGCGGGCGCCGTGCGCCAGGCGGCCTGCGCTGCGGCCCGCTCCTGCCGGGGGGGGGGGAGCGTCGGGGCAGGGCAGGGGCAACGGCTCTCGAGGCAGGGGATGGACTGGGAAACGGAGGTGCCGCAAGCTCGGCCTGCTCGTCGCATCCACGAGGAGTGCGCAGGATGTCTGCGGATCGACGGATCTGTGCGTATAAGACTCGGCGGGAAGAGAAAGCTTGGGGCAAATCAACTCTGCAGTCGACCCCCTACTCGAGGGGCGGGGGTCGGGGCGGGCGGCAACGGGCCCATTGTGGACAGATGGGCAAAAACGATCTGTCCCCGCACGGACCACTGAAGAAATCAATGAAATTGGTTGTGCGACGTGCGATGGGCGCGCTGTGGACAGCTCACTCGTGGACAGACGCGCGTCCTTACTGGGCGTGCTGTCTGCATGTGGGCATCCAGCTGGGACCCTTCCCGAACCCCGCCGTGAGGGAGGAGGAGGAGGAGGAGGAGGAGGAGGAGGAGGAGGAGGAGGAGGAGGAGAAGGAGGAGGGAGGATGAGGAGGAGGAGGAGGAGGGGGAGGAGGAGGAGGAGGAGGAGGAGGGGGAGGAGGAGGAGGCGAGGTGTCATACGGTCGGACCTGGGGCAGGGGCAGGGGCAGAGGCGGGGTCCGAGAAAGAGCGCTCGCAACGGCCCCCGGCGGGAAGGGCACAGCCAGAACGTATCGATAGGACGGGTGGTAAGGACGCAAGGCGCTTGGATAGGAAGGCACCAACTATACACCAACACCGATCCCGGCCAGGATCACCCTGGGCCCAGGATCGGTGTATATACCCTCCTGCCATGGGCAGAATGCATATACACCGATCCTGGGCCTAGGATCGGCCTGGGCTGGATCGGTGTAGGTGTATAGTTGGTGCCCTCCGACTTGGAGGCCGAAGCTGAGATTCGTTTGGCGGCGGGCGACCAGCGAGAGCGGCAGAGGACACAAGGGGTACCTTGGATGAAGATGCGCGTCCTCACTAACTAGGCGTGTTGACTGTGTGTGGGCATCCAGCTGGAATCGTTCCCGAACCCCGCCGTGGGATAGCATCCCAGGGCAAAGTATCATACGGTCGGACCTAGGGCAGAATAACATCCGTCAAGAGCATGAGACCCTCCGCCGCCCAGAACACCACAAACCACGAGATCACTCGAGCATACCCCCCCCAGGATGCACAATAACATTCTGTAGACACGAAGAACCTTGGGGCACCCTCTCCGAAAACCGACCTCGATCTCATACCCCGGTCCGGCCGTACCCATCGGTCAGAAGAAGTAGGTAGAACCATGACGTAGGAAGGCATTGGAAGTAGATTAGGCTTCCGCCCGCCTCCTGAAAGAGGAGGGAAGAGGGAAGATCAATCGATCACTGAAGTAGGAAAGCGGCGAAAGTAGATTGGGATCTGGAAATCCAAGAATACCTACTTTCAACGACCGATGGGAGGCCTTCTAGATGGGGTCCGAGTAGATGGGGTCGGAGGATCGTGCGGCATCGGCGATGCATCGGCGTGGATCGACGATGCATCGGCGATGTATCGTCGACGCCGGCAATGCATCGACGACGCTGGCGTGGAGGAAGTCGGTCTCCACATCGAGCCGCATCGCCGAGGCATCCGCGGTGCGGCGCAATCCTCCGACCCCGTCCACTCGGACCATCTGGGGGGCCCCCGTGGCGCGCACAGCGCGCCAAGGGCGGCGCCGGAGGCGCCGCCAGGGGGCCTCCCGCGCGGATCCGAGAATTCCGTGCGGACCTCCGAATTCTTATGTCTACAGTCGGGGCCTTGACCTAAGGAACCCAAAATAAGGAACGAGGCCCCTTTTTTCCCATAAGTTAAACTTCGATTTCCGATCGAAATCATAAGGAAAACCTGAGGCAAGCTGCGAAACACTTAAGGAACGCGGAGCCCCTCCCCAACGAAAAGGGTTCCTTCTTCAGGGCCCCGACTGTATGTCATTGTTCGTTCCCCTATGGGGATCCCCCAAAAAACGGTCCGAGCGTACCCCCGATCCTTGCGCAGCCTGGGCGCGCGAACGTTCCGGTCGTACACCCTGTGGGAGATGAAGAGCGCGAGCCCCAGCGCCAGGGCGAGGCACGGGGCCTCCC